GATCGGCAGGTGTCGGAGTGATCGCAAACGTACCAGTCGCACATCAAGTGCGAAATCACAATGAGGAAAAATGAGTTGACGAGGAAACCTATCGGAAAGAGAATGTGATGCCAAGCAAATCAACAGTTCAGTTGTCCTAGAACACCATTTATGGTCTTTGATAGAAATATTTTATTTATATCAAATGGCAGGCGTCTTGATGGTTATCATTAGCCCCTTAGTTGACTTCAGACTTCACAGAGGAGAAGGAACATCATATTGAAAAAAGTCGAGAGAGGGGGGGGGAACAGAAGAGTGTTTCAAAGATGTAAGAGACAAACACAAAGGTAGAAAAAAGGTGAAGTGAGTACTGTGAGAATAGTCGAATATGGCAGAGAGTGAGGTGGTGGTAGAAATATAAATCACTAAAAATACCGAGGGAAGAGTTCAGAGGTATGAAAAACCGAGAGTGCAAAATCAAGGATAATTATGAAAGGATGCATCCATAATAATACAATTTGTTGTTTTAAGGCGACATTTCAATCGAATAAAATAATAACTAACACTATTCCCCAATGCCGATAAAGATCTATATACTAGATAAACTTGTTCGTAAAATAATGCAAATTTTATTAAAAAGCACATAATTTGTACAAGCAAAGATGGAAATGGGGCTAACAAGGAATCTAATTTACTTGAAGCTGGTGCTCCCCCATTCCATATGCCATGGACTGATGAATGAACGAGAACCAGCGTAGTTCCCGAGAAGAGCTTTGCCGGGTGGATAGAAAGGATTGACGTTTTTCTCAGCAACATAAGCCTCCAGTTTAGATTCGGTATCTAATAGATCCTGAGAGACGAACCTAGCCCCAAAGGGTAGAAGATTAGCAACACCACTCAAAATGTAAGAGGCTTCACGCCAATCCAAGTACCCTCCAAGTTCGACTATGATTCTGTAGGCACGCACTGGAGTCACATAATGATGAATATCGGCTAAACAAAGTTCAAATCAGGCGACACCAATTTTACCTTTTCCTCCACCCATTCGCTTTCCCAAAGAACGCTGAGTTTTAGGCTTCCATGGGCCAGGTATTCGCCATACTGCGAACATTCGCTTTTCATTGATTTTGCGATTGATTGTGTTACGAATCATATCCAAGTGACCGATCAAGAGTTCGCCTCCCTCAAGAGCCTAAAAGTAAAGAGGAAATCACAAATTATACCAAAATAAGCTATTACAACACCAAGGCTATGAATGGGAAAAATTTATATGCTGATCAAGCGAAATACCTGAATACCGAATTGGTTGTGCCTTAAGAGATGATTGATGGTTTCAGGACCACGAATGTCATAATGGCGTCGTGGATATTTGTAAATCCGCTCACCACCAAGTAAAATGGGTGTTCTGGGGAGAGGGTGGAGCTTCCGGCGAGAAGGTGGGAATTCAGCATCGTCGAGTTCACCACGAGCAACATAGTTTTTCATATAAACTCGTTCACTATGGGGCAAAGGGTAACGGTGAAATGCGCAAGACCCTATCTTGAGGAAGTCAGCGGATTTTCGCAGAACTACGTCTACATTACCAATCCAGCCTATGGAAAACATTGCTATCAAAATATTGGAGGCTCTAGACCAACTTGAATATAACCTAATAAGTAATCTTTTTTGTTATTAACATAATCTTAAAAAAATTAAATCACTAATAAAATTATGATTTGTTACGAATAGATGGGTCATTTATCACATTTGTAAGTATATTCTGTTATAATGATTTCTTCAGTGAAATAGATAACATCAAGGTGTTTTTTAATAAAAGTGCCGGTGCTAATGTTTCATCGATTTAAATTTCCTTAGAATCCGTAATTTTAGCATATTTATCGAATATAGATTTTATCTTTTGCCAAAATGGTTATGAGAACTGATTCGAAATATTTACTTTTTTAGTCCGATTGGCTCAATCGCGTCAAGCTAATATCCGTGCTAAAATATACATTGTGACCAAATTCTTTAAAAATATTTTATGCAAATCCGTTTATTAGTGCTCAACTAGAATATTGTTTTGCTAACAAATCTAAACGTAATTTAAACATTGGGCAATAATATGAATGGAAGAGATTTACCGGCTTCGTTCTGGAAGAAACAAATCGCTGCACATTATGCATAAAAAATAGATTCAATAGAAAGCTTAAATATTCACTTAATATTCAGTCCCTAAAACTTTCGAACAGAAGAGTAAATGAGTTGTTTACAAAGTTCAACTAACCATTGAATGTACATCCACGGTTATTAATTTCATTACTACTCTTGCATAGAACATTTCATGCACTTACGAAATAGTGGTATCATTTTTATACATTCAAGTTAATTTTAAACGTTTGGTAACAAAGTGCGTCAATTTGTGCTCTCGTTATAAATATCATTACAAGATATGTGACAATACCATACTTGGAAGCGTACTAAATGCATTAAAACGTATCCTGAAAAAGGTTTTCCAAAAAGGCGTCAAAAATAAACTAAAGAGGGTATAAATACTGAAGAAACTGTGTTTTTTTTTCGAAATTGTTATTAATGAATAGGGCGAAATTATTCATAACATTTAGGGCACTTTTGAATTTAAAATTAAACGTTACTGAGAATGGTATTGACTTAAATTTTCTCAATAAGCCACAAATATTGAATGTTAATTGGCATTAAATGACACTTACTTGGCTCAATATCTCTATCACAAATAAGGCTTTATTTAAGTAAAAAGGTTTGTATTCAATTCAAACAATTCCATACTGGTAGAATTAATGGTTGAGCTTATTTAGCATTAGGAATAATTAACGAAATATAACTTGAATAGATTGACTTCCAGAATAAGAAAAGTACGCAATGCCGATCGCGATTTATTCATAAAATAATACCAATCGTTAAAGCATTAAATAAACTGGAGTTTTAAAAACACACATTGCTATTTTGTACATGTTCAAATTGATGAATTTAATTAACCTTAATCAGCAGTAACTTTGCTTTATATTATTTTTTAAGCGAATGGCAATATACCCATACTGTTATAATTATCAAGCTTTTACAAGTGCATAGATTTATGTTCATAACCAACAAAACAATTAGAGTAATAACGGACAATGAAGTAATTGGGAAATATTACTTTTGAAACCTCACCTTTTGAATGATTGTACAGGCAGGGGCTATATAACAGGGTACAGCACTTAAATTCGCTTGTTGCAAAATTTACCGAATAGCTTAAATCGCCGAATATATTTACTTATACATTGTAACGGACGATTAAATGTTCGCCTAGCTTAAGCAAAAAATAATAATTTAAAGTCGGTTAAATACAATCTTTTCCTATTTATTTTTAAAATTTAAAAAAATCTAGACTTCCATTTACATAGTAGTTTTTTTATTACTTCCAACATCCTTGACCTATCTGTTTTGTTTAATACGTTCTAATAGAACTTATTTGGTGGTTGATTTTAGCTATGAGGATTGTGCTGTTCGTGTTCCTTTTGTTCTCTGTGGCCTTTTCCGAATTGGATAGCTGCCACAGTTGTGATGAAAACTGTCGAAGCCTACATGTACGTTGAGTATATCGTTTTTTTATTCCATAGGCCAATGCATCCCTTGCTGATGCCTGTATCCAAGGGTGTCATGAATCACTTGGACTTGATGCTAAGGCTGATGACTACAATGTTAACACTGATTGCGAAAACAATTGCAAGAATTTTTCAGACAATGATCTAAAGTCCGCTTGCTATGATGGTTGCACTTACATTCCGGCTTTGCCTATCGAGCGCAGTGTGCCCATAACTGGATTCTCTGCCACTCCACTCCTTTCAAAGTATGCTTTCAAATCATTCTTATTTAATCCTCTTTATTAGAATTCTCGAATTTATGAAGGGAATTAACGAAAATGTTGAAAATAATGCTGAATCTCTCGTTTCCGGAAATGATCAACCTCTTATTCGTGAGACCCACGTCCGAATTTTCGCTTCTGATGGTGCTAATATTAAGAAGATATTGGACACTATCTTTGGTTCCCATAATGACGACCTTCCAAATGATGTCGAGCATGATCGCAGTAACAACAAGATTAGTCTTGCTTTGCCCTTCAACGGAATTCAATTTCGAGATCAATTACATCGTATTGCTACACATCCTCTCTTCATGACCTTAATTATTTTCACGTTTGTTAGTAGTATCATTCTCCTTATCTTCGCTTGCTATCGCCTTAGTACTAGAAGTACACACAGACCAATATTTCAACGACAATATCGCGTAAGTTTGAGCCGATTTATTTTTTTGCAAGTAAATACAATTTTTCTCCAATGATTATTTTTCTTTTTCAGAGGATGCCACAACTCGTCAAATCTTCTTCAACGTGTGTCAGTCTAGTGACACCTCAATCTAGCGATGATGAGGCTCCTATTCTTCCTTCAAAAGAGCCAATTGTTTAAATCTCTAATATCGAAGAGATTCGAGACGATGGAGTTTTTCCGTTAAAACAAAAGATCAACACAAAATCCCCCTTAATATTACTGTGTTATTGCTCATTATACTACATTCGTTTTACTATCTTTTCTGTGATTGCTTTAAACATCCCGATTTCGTATATTGTCATTTTATCCAAGTAAATGTGATCTATACAAAATACGTGCCATTTCCCTCAATTTTATTGCGTGTTTGTATCTTAGCATTTTCAAATAGCCTTTTTGATCCTAGCTAATTCTAGAAATTGATGCGCAAATATCCTGACAATTTGCTTAGAATCCTTAAATTAAGTTATTGAATCGTTTTTGCAGAAGCCTATTAGGAATTGCTTTCGCATTTACAGATATTCTTGTTGCCAATCTGTTTCGGGTCTAATTAGTAGCAATTAGGGATCTTAGCTATATCACCGGCTTCGCATGCGATTAGGGCTACAGATCAATGAATCTCTACCGTGAGTGGCATGAATCTCGCCATTTGCATAATTGTTTGCGTGACTCTAGCTTCTTCCGATGCTTTGTTTTAGATATTCTCAATAAACCAATTTCGGCCTTGTCACCTACTTCCACAGTTTTTCTGTCGATACAAAATGGCTAATTCACAGTATACCTATGTACGGAATTTTGAAGCTGAAGTTCCCTGTTTGCCCAACACTTGGATTGTTGTTCGGTTAGATGGACAAAACTTTCATACTTTTACTGAGAAACATGGCTTCGCAAAGCCTAATGATGAGAGAGCCTTGCAATTGGCCTGTGCTTCTGCGCGTAGCGTAATGCGGCGTCACGGGGAGATTGTTCTTGCTTATGGCCAATCAGATGAGTTCAGTTTCGTTTTCCGGAGGTCGACTGATTCTTTTAATAGGCGACCTAGGTGAGTCGTTCAATTTCCTTATTGTGGCCAACTTAGTTTTTTAGATCATTGTGTTCTGTCTGTTAAATAAATGTGACAAACTTTTTAGCCAGTCATTTCTTTTCATATTCTCTTATTGATTAATGATAAGTTCATTAACTTTTTTCATAGTTCAGCCCATTTTTTTATAGATTAATTTATTTCGTCTCTACAGGTTGCAGAATAATCGCTAACCATTGCGCCATTCTTAAGTGCCTTTTTCCTATTTTGTTTATTATAGACCCATTGATTTCTTTATTCTTCGACCAAACCCTGTAAGATCTACTATCATCATATGTTCATGCTATTCTGACGACCAAAATACGCTGATTTATCATAAAACCATCTAAGGTTTCATGTGCTGAAAATCGATCTTAACAATGGTTTTTTTATTATCGATTTTATCTAGTTTTGGCGTAGGCAGGCTTCGGGAACTTTTATTTTCTAGCATTTTTTTCTATGAAACGTTAATTTAATTATTGCTAAAGTCCCGGAGCCATTAAATGGAATCATACGTCGTTAAAAACATACTTAAACATTTCAAATGGAATTTCAATGGCTATGCTATTGCGTTCTGAAATAATCGATTGTTCATATTTTCTTCTCCAACAACGCCAAATATTCCGAAAATGAATAAAAGATTAAACTGAAGTTTCGTGTTACTTAATTCACTACAAATTTCTCAATAATTAATAATTTTTTCTTGAAGGCCACAAGTCCACCTCAAATTGAATTCCATTTTTTGTAATCAGACATAAATTATTCCCCTTATTCTTCGTATTCTTTTAGGTTTTTTTCTCATGGACCGACCAGTTGAGTGTGTCAGATAGATACTTAGATTTAGCAGGTATAAAATAGTAAAGGCGCGTTGTTTTGTGCAATTAAATATAATTTAAAATAAATTTAACGTGAGGAATTTTCCTTAATGTTCACTTCAACATTGAAATGATTGACGAAGTCTGTTTTTAATAAAAAATACACTTCCTACCTAAACACATTGAAAGATAGGCAATTTCTGGTTGCGCCATCCTACGGAAACCCCGTAAGGTGGATTTCGCCTGTTTTCACTACGAGTGAATGAGGCTAATTTATCATTGCTTTATCGCTTGTGGTTGCTTCATTGTTGATAAGCTTGCTGCATTTTAATATATATCCTTACTTCTTATTTTGCATGTTGAGTGTAAGTGATTTTTTGGAAGGTTTGTATATTTTAAATAAAAAGGATCTTAAATTCAACACATTAGGCACTATATTATGGATTAGTAAAACATTGTAGGGGCTTATTAGTGTTGAAGACGTGTCTGTTTATTCAACTTCAAAATCCACCTTTACTAATTCAGTGAATCGAGCAATCGGATCCCACCTCTGTGTAGGTTTTGAAATTGAAGTAAATTTTCTCATAACAGGCCTCAGGGTGTTTCATCTTGACATATTTGGGAAGTATCCTTTCAGGATTTGTGTGATATGATCTTGACTTCCATACATTTACAGTTTTTTGACGATTAGGATCTGATATTCTTTTCTCATATGGTCTAGTGGTTAAGTCAGTGGACTGTTAAGCTATTAGGGTTTCCCCGCGTGAATTCAAAATTCTTATGCGTCATTGAAATAAGTGCGTATGTGGTACTGTAGTCGATATGAATGTGTGTCATTGATGCACATCCAGTATTGTGGTTGGTCTGCCTTTCTGATTAATTCGGGTCAATAGGAGCGGTGGTAGAACGTGAGTTCCTCGTAAGGAGGAACTCCCACAATATCTCTATACCCTATTCATGTGCTCTGAACACTTCTAAAGAGCTTGTGAAGTTAGGCTTTGGGGACGCAGTGGTCAGTGCGCGTGTTTGTGAATTCAGAGGTTAAGAAATAGATTTTTATCCTTGCACATCCATTGACTTGAATTGCCAATGCACTCGTCGTTTCTT